CGATCTCGGTCGCAGCGATCATGCCCCAATGGAAGTAGCAGAAGAAGCTCGGATGGGAGTCAAGGGACGGGGTGCGAGGCTTAGTAGAGGTCCCAAGAACTCCCGGTCGCTCTTGTGGGTGAGAATGTCCGATAGGACTCGAACTCCATCCGCCAGTTCGTTCAGATGTCCCTCCGCCACTTCTGGAGCTTGTCCGTAAGTCGTCGTCGTTGCGACAGCAGCGAGCACGAGGCAAATGAGAAGGTTCATCTTGGTGCGGGTGAGGAAGAGGTGCTAGGAAGGTCTTGGTAAATTGCAGAATGATAAAGCAAGCCACCATGCATTTGATCAGGGTTCAAGTCGAGCTGGTCGAACCAAAAGCAGTTTCGTATGGTACAGGAGATGAACTTTATCGCACACGACATTCTGCGTGAAAGAACCGGCGCGCCTGTTGACGCCGAACAAGTCCTGAAAAACCGCTGACCAGGACAGGCGAATGCGGCAGTTGGTGGTCTGAGATACCGGTACAAGCTGGGATGTATCCCGACAGTCAGCTCTCAATCAGGAGATGAGGTGTTGACAAAGACAGAAGACAATGCACTTTCCATGCTCGAGTGGTCGGTCACTTGCGTTCGACTCCTCCATGTCCGTCATTCTTTGCTAACTTACTGATGCAGACAGGTCCATCCTACCATCATTCACTCGGCAGCGGGGTGTATTTAGTTTACGAAGTGGCTCATCGAAGTGCATACTCAACCACTGCTCCGAAACCTAAAGCTTTCCAGCACCGCGGATACATAGCTGACATCCAATTTAGTGCCGAGCTGCTGGCAACTGATGTAAATTACGCACGCTCTTCCACTGTGATATGGTCGGTCGACTTAAAGACATCGATCTGCCTGGTTGAGCGACAAGTTAGCTACCGACCCTTCAATATTACCGTAGACACGCACCTGTTCGTTCCGTTTCGTGTTAGCTCCTCAGGAAACCTGCGAAACTACCACGGACTGATGGATGCAAACCAGGAAGTAGCAGTTAGTGACGAGTATGACGGCGACGGTAGAAAATCTAGTGAACAGTCAAACTATTGAATCGTAAGAGCATCGAGTTCAGGAGATCTGGACGATCGCGACGTCACAGATGCGAAAGATTGAGTCGGTCAACCCTTGTGCGAGACAGGCTGTTGTGATACATACCTTCGAGGCGTATTACGAGGTAACGCACGCGTAGATAACAGATAGGGTGCGTGTTCATTGTGAACGTCAATGTGTCGCAATCGCTACTAGAGTAGATACTCAGTCAATGTTTGCGGCGGAAGCGCGGTCTCTACGCCCTGAAATCCGTCACTGGCAGCTAGGACGTCAGATGCATGGAACACGCGAGCTAGGATGTTGACTTGTGGAACACGCGAGTTACCCAAAGCGTCCATACGCCGTTGCGCGGTGGATTACTTTGTTCCATCCAATGTGCCCTCGACAAATATACATTGTTTCGCATGATCGCTTCTTTCAGTGCCTTCGTAACAAGATACATTGACCTGTACCAACGCTAACAATCCTCGTGAGTTTGTTTGATTTCGATTGCTCCAAAGCAAAGTCACACGCTTGATCGATGCGAAGGAGGAAAACGTCATGGCTCACATGGAAGCTAAGAGTTCTTTTCGGGACCGGGTGGTGTGTTGGATCGTCGATTTCAACCAGAGCGATACAATCGATCAGGATGAGCTTTGCTAGGTGTCGTAGAGCGTATCTCGTTCATTTGGGAGGACCTAAAGGACGCACTACAAATCGACCGTCGTTCAGTCACGTACACACCGTAGACATCACTGGAATCAATTACGAATAAACGGGTGTGTATTCCCGTATCCGACATACTCCCTGTGCTCCCCCCTGCTATTAGAAAGCGAGCAGGTTGCAAGAAAGGTGTCGATCACGCCGGTCTCGTTAGCACTCTGTTGACAGCAGCAAGGACGCCAGATGGACAATCGGGGCGGGCTTTTGTCATTCAGCGTGCAGCCATAGACGAGGTCCGTGTTTCCTGCCAAGACAACCCAATGCGGATGAATGTATTGACCCGCATGACAACGACTTCAGTCGGTCTCAAAGCAAACGAGCGGATGATGACCTGTTGCTTGTTACAGATCTGACACAGCGCTCATGGTGCCGTCTGCCGCTGAGCACAAACGGTTTCGCTGTCGCAGCTCATGTAAGTAGCTCGAGCGCAGGGAAGACTCCCGTGTAGGTGCAAGGGATACGAAAGACGGGCGAATGGCCTCGGTCGGACAGACGACGACATATTTGCAACCCAGTAGTGCCAATGCGGAATGCAAAGGTAGATGTCAGTGTAGTACCGAAGTCACAATCGAGTTGAAAGCAAGCTAGATTGGTGTCATGTTACCCTTTCACGCGCCTACATGTTTACGCCTTCATCCCAATACGAATGAAGAAACATGGACTCGTTTCAAGGAACAGGTTGGGGTATCGTTGGATCTCACTCTCGTTTTCAATCAGCGCGATCTCGGTCGCAGCGATCATGCCCCAATGGAAGTAGCAGAAGAAGCTCGGATGGGAGTCAAGGGACGGGGTGCGAGGCTTAGTAGAGGTCCCAAGAACTCCCGGTCGCTCTTGTGGGTGAGAATGTCCGATAGGACTCGAACTCCATCCGCCAGTTCGTTCAGATGTCCCTCCGCCACTTCTGGAGCTTGTCCGTAAGTAGTCGTCGTTGCGACAGCAGCGAGCACGAGGCAAATGAGAAGGTTCATCTTGGTGCGGGTGAGGAAGAGGTGATAGGAAGGTCTTGGTAAATTGCAGAATGATAAAGCAAGCCACCATGCATTTGATCAGGGTTCAAGTCGAGCTGGTCGAACCAAAAGCAGTTTCGTATGGTACAGGAGATGAACTTTATCGCACACGACATTCTGCGTGAAAGAACCGGCGCGCCTGTTGACGCCGAACAAGTCCTGAAAAACCGCTGACCAGGACAGGCGAATGCGGCAGTTGGTGGTCTGAGATACCGGTACAAGCTGGGATGTATCCCGACAGTCAGCTCTCAATCAGGAGATGAGGTGTTGACAAAGACAGCAGACAATGCACTTTCCATGCTCGAGTGGTCGGTCACTTGCGTTCGACTCCTCCATGTCCGTCATTCTTTGCTAACTTACTGATGCAGACAGGTCCATCCTACCATCATTCACTCGGCAGCGGGGTGTATTTAGTTTACGAAGTGGCTCATCGAAGTGCATACTCAACCACTGCTCCGAAACCTAAAGCTTTCCAGCACCGCGGATACATAGCTGACATTCAATTTAGTGCCGAGCTGCTGGCAACTGATGTAAATTACGCACGCTCTTCCACTGTGATATGGTCGGTCGACTTAAAGACATCGATCTGCCTGGTTGAGCGACAAGTTAGCTACCGACACTTCAATATTACCGTAGACACGCACCTGTTCGTTCCGTTTCGTGTTGGCTCCTCAGGAAACCTGCGAAACTACCACGGACTGATGGATGCAAACCAGGAAGTAGCAGTTAGTGACGAGTATGACGGCGACGGTAGAAAATCTAGTGAACAGTCAAACTATTGAATCGTAAGAGCATCGAGTTCAGGAGATCTGGACGATCGCGACGTCACAGATGCGAAAGATTGAGTCGGTCAACCCTTGTGCGAGACAGGCTGTTGTGATACGTACCTTCGAGGCGTATTACGAGGTAACGCACGCGTAGATAACAGATAGGGTGCGTGTTCATTGTGAACGTCAATGTGTCGCAATCGCTACTAGAGTAGATACTCAGTCAATGTTTGCGGCGGAAGCGCGGTCTCTACGCCCTGAAATCCGTCACTGGCAGCTAGGACGTCAGATGCATGGAACACGCGAGCTAAGATGTTGACTTATGGAACACGCGAGTTACCCAAAGCGTCCATACGCCGTTGCGCGGTGGATTACTTTGTTCCATCCAATGTGCCCTCGACAAATATACATTGTTTCGCATGATCGCTTCTTTCAGTGCCTTCGTAACAAGATACATTGACCTGTACCAACGCTAACAATCCTCGTGAGTTTGTTTGATTTCGATTGCTCCAAAGCAAAGTCACACGCTTGATCGATGCGAAGGAGGAAAACGTCATGGCTCACATGGGAGCTAAGAGTTCTTTTCGGGACCGGGTGGTGTGTTGGATCGTCGATTTCAACCAGAGCGATACAATCGATCAGGATGAGCTTTGCTAGGTGTCGTAGAGCGTATCTCGTTCATTTGGGAGGACCTAAAGGACGCACTACAAATCGACCGTCGTTCAGTCACGTACACACCGTAGACATCACTGGAATCAATTACGAATAAACGGGTGTGTATTCCCGTATCCGACATACTCCCTGTGCTCCCCCCTGCTATTAGAAAGCGAGCAGGTTGCAAGAAAGGTGTCGATCACGCCGGTCTCGTTAGCACTCTGTTGACAGCAGCAAGGACGCCAGATGGACAATCGGGGCGGACTCTTGTCATTCAGCGTGCAGCCATAGACGAGGTACGTGTTTCCTACCATGACAGCCCAATGCGGATGAATGTATTGATCCGCATGACAACGACTTCAGTCGGTCTCAAAGCAAACGAGCGGATGATGACCTGTTGCTTGTTACAGATCTGACACAGCGCTCATGGTGCCGTCTGCCGCTGAGCACAAACGGTTTCGCTGTCGCAGCTCATGTAAGTAGCTCGAGCGCAGGGAAGACTCCCGGGTAGGTGCAAGGGATACGAAAGACGGGCGAATGGCTTTGGTCGGACAGACGACGACATATTTGCAACCCAGTAGTGCCAATGCGGAATGCAAAGGTAGATGTCAGTGTAGTACCGAAGTCACAATCGAGTTGAAAGCAAGCTAGATTGATGCCATGTTACCCTTTCACTCGCCTACATGTTTACGCCTTCATTCCAATACGAACGAAGAGACATGGACTCGTTTCATGGAACAGGTTGGGGCATCGTTGGATCTCACTCTTTGTTTCAATCAGCGCGATCTCCGTCGCAGCGATTATGCCCCAATGGAAGTAGCAGAAGAAGCTCGGATGGGATTCAAGGGATGAGGTGCGAGGCTTAGTAGAGGTCCCAAGAACTCCCGGTTGCTCTTGTGGGTGAGAATGTCCGATAGGACTCGAACTCCATCCGCCAGTTCGTTCAGATGTCCCTCCGCCACTTCTGGAGCTTGTCCGTAAGTCGTCGTCGTTGCGACAGCAGCGAGCACGAGGCAAATGAGAAGGTTCATCTTGGTGCGGGTGAGGAAGAGGTGATAGGAAGGTCTTGGTAAATTGCAGAATGATAAAGCAAGCCACCATGCATTTGATCAGGGTTCAAGTCGAGCTGGTCGAACCGAGAAAGCAGTTTCGTATGGTACAGGAGATGAACTTTATCGCACACGATATCCTTCGCGAAAGAACCGGCGCGCCTGTTGACGCCGAACAAGTCCTGATAAAACCGCCGACCGGGACAGGCGAATGCGGCCGTTGGTGGTCTGAGATACCGGTGCAAGCTATCTCGACAGTCAACTCCCAACCAGGAGATGAGGTGTTGACAAAGACAGCAGACAATGCACTTTCCATGCTCGAGTGGTCGTTCACTTGCGTTCGACTCCTCCATGTCCGTCATTCTTTGCTAACTTACTGATGTAGACAGGTCCATCCTACCAGCATTCACCCGGCAGCGGGGTGTATTTAGTTTACGAAGTGGCTCATCGAAGTGCATACTCAACCACTGCTCCGAAACCTAAAGCTTTCCAGCACCGCGGATACATAGCTGACATCCAATTTAGTGCCGAGCTGCTGGCAACTGATGTAAATTACGCACGCTCTTCCACTGTGATATGGTCGGTCGACCCAAAGACATCTATCTGCCTGGTTGAGCGACAAGTTAGCTACCGACACTTCAATATTACCGTAGACACGCACCTGTTCGTTCCGTTTCGTGTTGGCTCCTCAGGAAACCAGCGAAACTACCACGGACTGATGGATGAAAACCAGGTATGTAGCTGTAGTGACGAGTATGACGGTGACGGTAGAAAATCTAGTGAACAGTAAGACTATTGAATCGTAAGAGCATCGAGTTCAGGAGATCTGGACGATCGCGACGTCACAGATGCGAAAGATTGAGTCGGTCAACCCTTGTGCGGGACATGCTGTTGTGATACGTACCTTCGAGGCGTACTACGAGGTAACGCACGCGTAGATAACAGATAGGGTGCGTGTTCATTGTGAACGTCAATGTGTCGCAATCGCTACTAGAGTGGATATTCAGTCAATGTTTGCGGCGGAAGCGCGGTCTCTACGCCCTGAAATCCGTCACTGGCAGCTAGGACGTCAGATGTATGGAACACGCGAGCTAGGATGTTGACTTGTGGAACACGCGAGTTACTCAAAGCGTCCATACGCCGTTGCGCGGTGGATTGCTTTGTTCCATCCAATATGCCCTCGATAAAGATACACTGTATCGCTTGATCGCTTCTATCAGTGCCTTCGTAACAAGATACACTGACCTGTACCAACGCTAACAATCCTCGTGAGTTTGTTTGATTTCGATTGCTCCAAAGCAAAGTCACACGCTTTATGGATGCGAAAGAGGAAACGTCTTGGCTCACATGGAAGCTAAGAGTTCTTTTCGGGACCGGTGTGGTAGATCGTCGATTTCAACTAGAGAGATACAATCGATCAGGATGAGCTTTGCTAGGTATCGTAGAGTGTATCTCGTTCATTTTGGAGGACCTAAAGGACGCACTACAAATCGACCGTCGTTCAGTCACGTACACACCGTAGACATCACTGGAATCAATTACGAATAAACGGGTGTGTATTCCCGTACCCGACATACTCCCTGTGCTCTCCCCTGCTATTAGAAAGCAAGCAGGCTGAAAGAAAGGTGTCGATCACGCCGGTCTCGTTAGCACTCTGTTGACAGCAGCAAGGACGCCAGATGGACAATCAGGGCAGGCTCTTGTCATTCAGCGTGCAGCCATAGACGAGGTCCGTGTTTCCTGCCATGACAGCCCAGTGCGGATGAATGTATTGACCCGCATGACAATGACTTCAGTCGGTCTCAAAGCAAACGAGCGGATGATGACCTGTTGCTTGTTACAGATCTGACACAGGGCTCATGGTGCCGTCCGCCGATGAGCACAAACGGTTTCGCTGTCGCAGCTCATGTAAGTAGCTCGAGCGCAGGGAAGACTCCCGTGTAGGTGCAAGGGATCCGAAAGACGGGCGAATGGCTTTGGTCGGACAGACGACGACATATTTGCAACCCAGTAGTGCCAATGCGGAATGCAAAGGTAGATGTCAGTGTAGTACCAAAGTCACAATCGAGTTGAAAGCAAGCTAGATTGATGCCATGTTACCCTTTCACTCGCCTACATGTTTACGCCTTCATTCCAATACGAACGAAGAGACATGGACTCGTTTCATGGAACAGGTTGGGGCATCGTTGGATCTCACTCTTTGTTTCAATCAGCGCGATCTCCGTCGCAGCGATTATGCCCCAATGGAAGTAGCAGAAGAAGCTCGGATGGGAGTCAAGGGACGGGGTGCGAGGCTTAGTAGAGGTCCCAAGAACTCCCGGTTGCTCTTGTGGGTGAGAATGTCCGATAGGACTCGAACTCCATCCGCCACTTCGTTCAGATGTCCCTCCGCCACTTCTGGAGCTTGTCCGTAAGTAGTCGTCGTTGCGACAGCAGCGAGCATGAGGCAAATGAGAAGGTTCATCTTGGGTGCAGGTGAGGAAGAGGGGCTGAGAAGGTCTTGGTAAATTGCGGAATGATAAAGCAAGCCGCCACGCGTTCGAGTAGGGTTCAATCGAGCTGGTCGAACCAAAAGCACTTTCGTATGGTACAGGAGATGAACTTTATCGCACACGATATCCTCGCGAAAGAACTGCGCGCCTGTTGACGCCGAACAAGTCCTGAAAAACCGCCGACTGGGACAGGCGAATGCGGCAGTTGGTGGTCTGAGATACCGGTGCAAGCTATCTCGGCCTTTAACTCCCAACCAGGAGATGAGGTGTTGACAAAGACATCAGACAATACACTTTCCGTGAACGAGTGGTCGGTCACTTGTGTTCGACTCCTCCATGTCCATCATTCTTTGCTAACTTACTGATGTAGACAGGTCCATCCTACCATCATTCACTCGGCAGCGGGGTGTATTTAATTTACGAAGTGGCTCATCGAAGTGCATACTCAACCACTGCTCCGAAACCTAAAGCTTTCCAGCACCGCGGATACATAGCTGACATCCAATTTAGTGCCGAGCTGCTGGCAACTGATGTAAATTACGCACGCTCTTCCACTGTGATATGGTCGGTCGACCCAAAGACATCTATCTGCCTGGTTGAGCGACAAGTTAGCTACCGACTCTTCAATATTACCGTAGACACGCACCTGTTCGTTCCGTTTCGTGTTGGCTCCTCAGGAAACCTGCGAAACTACCACGGACTGATGGATGAAAACCAGGTATGTAGCAGTAGTGACGAGTATGACGGTGACGGTAGAAAATCTAGTGAACAGTAAGACTATTGAATCGTAAGAGCATCGAGTTCAGGAGATCTAGACGATCGCGACGTCACAGATGCGAAAGATTGAGTCGGTCAACCCTTGTGCGGGACATGCTGTTGTGATACGTACCTTCGAGGCGTACTACGAGGTAACGCACGCGTAGATAACAGATAGGGTGCGTGTTCATTGTGAACGTCAATGTGTCGCAATCGCTACTGGAGTGGATATTCAGTCAATGTTTGCGGCGGAAGCGCGGTCTCTACGCCCTGAAATCCGTCACTGGCAGCTAGGACGTCAGATGTATGGAACACGCGAGCTAGGATGTTGACTTGTGGAACACGCGAGTTACCCAAAGCGTCCATACGCCGTTGCGCGGTGGATTGCTTTGTTCCATCCAATATGCCCTCGATAAAGATACACTGTATCGCTTGATCGCTTCTATCAGTGCCTTCGTAACAAGATACACTGACCTGTACCAACGCTAACAATCCTCGTGAGTTTGTTTGATTTCGATTGCTCCAAAGCAAAGTCACACGCTTTATGGATGCGAAAGAGGAAACGTCTTGGCTCACATGGAAGCTAAGAGTTCTTTTCGGGACCGGTGTGGTAGATCGTCGATTTCAACTAGAGAGATACAATCGATCAGGATGAGCTTTGCTAGGTATCGTAGAGTGTATCTCGTTCATTTTGGAGGACCTAAAGGACGCACTACAAATCGACCGTCGTTCAGTCACGTACACACCGTAGACATCACTGGAATCAATTACGAATAAACGGGTGTGTATTCCCGTACCCGACATACTCCCTGTGCTCTCCCCTGCTATTAGAAAGCAAGCAGGCTGAAAGAAAGGTGTCGATCACGCCGGTCTCGTTAGCACTCTGTTGACAGCAGCAAGGACGCCAGATGGACAATCAGGGCAGGCTCTTGTCATTCAGCGTGCAGCCATAGACGAGGTCCGTGTTTCCTGCCATGACAGCCCAGTGCGGATGAATGTATTGACCCGCATGACAATGACTTCAGTCGGTCTCAAAGCAAACGAGCGGATGATGACCTGTTGCTTGTTACAGATCTGACACAGGGCTCATGGTGCCGTCCGCCGATGAGCACAAACGGTTTCGCTGTCGCAGCTCATGTAAGTAGCTCGAGCGCAGGGAAGACTCCCGTGTAGGTGCAAGGGATACGAAAGACGGGCGAATGGCTTTGGTCGGACAGACGACGACATATTTGCAACCCAGTAGTGCCAATGCGGAATGCAAAGGTAGATGTCAGTGTAGTACCGAAGTCACAATCGAGTTGAAAGCAAGCTAGATTGATGCCATGTTACCCTTTCACTCGCCTACATGTTTACGCCTTCATTCCAATACGAACGAAGAGACATGGACTCGTTTCATGGAACAGGTTGGGGCATCGTTGGATCTCACTCTTTGTTTCAATCAGCGCGATCTCCGTCGCAGCGATTATGCCCCAATGGAAGTAGCAGAAGAAGCTCGGATGGGATTCAAGGGATGAGGTGCGATCCGTATTAGAGGTCCCAAGAACTCCCGGTTGCTCTTGTGGGTGAGAATGTCCGATAGGACTCGAACTCCATCCGCCACTTCGTTCAGATGTCCCTCCGCCACTTCTGGAGCTTGTCCGTAAGTAGTCGTCGTTGCGACAGCAGCGAGCATGAGGCAAATGAGAAGGTTCATCTTGGGTGCAGGTGAGGAAGAGGTGCTAGGGAGGTCTTGGT